GCGCAGTTTAAATCATTTTTTATCCTAATAATATGCTTAATAATTACTTTTGCGAAATATAGTTGTGTATAACTTTATAGACGCTTTCATCTTCGACAACAACTTCAAGTGACTCCTGTACTCAGAACTCTGAAAGCAAACTAATCTCGAGCACACCTAAAGAAAGCAGTACAACCGACACCGCCGAAGATATGGTAAGGTTTTCAAATATAGTACAAAAGACAACAACGAAATGCGATAAAATAGAGAGTTTACTTCGCCGAGATATTTGTCGTAAGCTTTAATAAATGTGTTTAAATAATTTCAGTAATACTTATTATAGTCTTTTCTAAACATGTTCTTCTGTGAACATTTTTCAATGAAATTCAAGTTATTGGAAGAATTCACGCAAGTATATGCTAATAAATGTTCACAAAAAAAACTCGTAAACATAGTAAGTATTTTAAATATATGCAGTAGTAATGTAGGCGTAACTGAACGGTTTTTGCAGGATGTTTTGCAAGTAAATAATACTCAAAGCGGTTTTGTCCCAAACGTTTCGACTATATATTGAGTCTTCTTCAGTGGGTACACAAATTAACAATATTCATACTTAGTGTTAACGCCAAAGTACTTCTCGATAAAGTTGAAAAGGGAAGGTTGTCTTCTTTGTAAGAGATGTGAATTCTCAATTCTGAAGAAGACTCAATATATATAGTCGAAACGTTTGGGAGAAAACCGCTTTGAGTATTATTTACCTGCAAACCGTTCAGTTACGTCTACATTACTACTGCATATGATTTTCTACACTGAATTTGAGGACTATCCTCGTTGAACAATTAATTTCAAATATAATTTACGTTAATGGTAGCGTTGTTCCATAATAAACTTGCACATTATTTAAATCAGGTTTTTTAATAAGACGTGTGCTTTATATGTAACTTTTGCGGAATATAGTTTTGTATAATTTTACAGATATTTCCATCTTTGCTATCAACTTCAAGTAATTTCCATAAACAGAAATCCGAAAGAAAACAAATCTGGAGCAGTATTCTGCTAATAGGTTGCAGAACGTCTGCAAACGGTGTCTTCATAGTGAGTTTTTGAAAAATAGTAAAAAAATATGATTGAATGTGATATGATGAAGAGCTTACTCTGCCGAGATAGTTCTCGACCGCTTTAAGAAATTTGTTTTAGATTTACTTAAATAAAGTTCAGTAATATTTATTTATCATCTTTTTTGAAGGGGTATTTCTGTAGACACTGTTTAATGGAATTCGATTTTCTGCGAGAACTCATGCACCATATTCATATACAAGTATGTTCATGGAAAAAATAATCAAATGTGGTAAGTTTGTTTCGAATATATGTTACAACAATGATAGCGTTGTTTTGGTAGAAATGCTCGCACAGTTTAAATTACTTTTTGTCTCAATAACGTATACTACTATAAAATAAATTATTACTAAAAATATATTATTACTTCATAAGTAATAATATATTTTATCTTCTTTTTTGTAGTCGGTTTTTGTTAACACATCGTCACTGTAACTGACCTGTCAGTCGACTCTTGTTTTGCACATACTTAAGTACTGCTTATTATATTTTCTTTGAAAATGGCTTGCTACTCTCAGCTCTGTTTATTGAAATTTGAGTGACAGAATTCCACACTCATAAGTAGTGAAATATGTGAATCTCAGATATAATATGTGCGCGGATATAAAATTTTCGAAATTAGTATTTAGTTAATATGAGACAATAAAACCCCAATACTTATGTAAAGAGATTTCTCTGCCAAAACTATATTGTTTATTAAAAGCAATTGTCAACTTTTTTTCGGAAGTGTGCAATAATTGTTATTTTTACATGTAGTTTTACAGGATGACAAGTAGTAGTCTTCTTTTGCATATTCAGGATTCTAACTGCATGAAAGATATAACAATTTGTAAAATAATAGACACACACACACACACACACAACGTAAAAGTACTTCAATCTAAAAAACATAAATTGATGTTGGAAGAGTCGTTACATACGAGAACATTTTTCCACATTTGACGATCAAGTAGACAACTACAATTAATTGTTACGTGTTATTTACAATTTATGGTTGTAATTTTTAGTGATATGATTGACACAATTATTTGACAAATATGTAAAACAGACTTCGTGTGTGCTCTATACGATATTCTATATGCGACAGTAGATAAAATTGATATCTATTGTTTTTATTTTTTTTTTATTCTTCATATATTTATCTTCTATATTCTTATTTTTTTCTTATTTTCTTTCTATTTTGTATACGTACTAATGTACGTGTATTGAAATAGATATTATATAGAAGTGATATGGAAGTACTATGTATTAAAACATATATTACATGGAAGTATTATGTATTTAAATATTGTCCATATGCAACATCATTTAATATTATACTTTCACATTTTTATATTTTTTACTTTCACATTTTTATATTTTTTACTTTCACATTTTTATATTTTTTACGAAGCGCTTGTCCACTTTTCCTTTAATCAAATATAATTGAAAAAAAAAACCATTGTTACATTTCATTTATATGCTCTAAATACAGAAAAATGTATTTATTTTGATGTATATGTACTTAAATACAATACAAATAAATTTACAAACTTTACAAATAAAACGACTCTTTAATATTCACCTATGAGAAAAATCAGAAGATTAGTTAAAAAAAACGATCGCTCTGGGTGTGCACATAAATTATTTTTTCAAAATCATTTTAAAGTAGATTTTATATAGATTTTTAATATATGTAAAAATGTATGTTTTTAAATTACAACTTTAATTCAAATAGTTACAAAGGAGACTCTAGATCTCTACTGAAAGTAACGTAGATGTTTATATTAAATGTTTTCTATGTCCATCATGAATATCTAATCGAGAGTCCAGAGTGTTCTATGTGGGATCACATTATCACATGCAGAACATGTTTCAATACCTTATAAACAGGTTTGTTGTGCATCTAACATTGTTGCCTAACAAAAATTTCTCATTTCTTTCGCAATGACGATTTCACCGTGACCGAAAGCGTCAGTAATAATTACGATCCGATTGACAATTGTATCACATACAAGTATTTTGTAGTTCGCAAAAAGTATCGGACATACTGTGTGCGATGCATCAATCGCGTGTTGAAAATATGTCATAAAATCAATTTAGAATTCCAAAAAAAAAAAAAAAAATTATTTTTTTTTAATAGTAGGTATAAAATATAATTGTTTTTTTTTATTTCTTTATACGATGAAAAATCATCGAATCAAGCAAATTATACGATTGTAACGATCGCGACAAGCTAATCCGTCACTTTCGCTTGCCCGGCGACTTTCAGTTGTAACGCGTTGAAAGTTCATCCGCTGTTTCGTGCGGTAATTACTTACTCGCTTAGCGCGAGAACGACGAAAAGTGCGTGTCGAAGTGCGCGGAGGCGAGAATTGGAGAAAGTCACCGCTCTCGAGGAAAATTGCTCTAAAACAAACGACATGCCCGTGGTTGAACGCAACGTGAGCCTCTCCGCTGTCACGCGACATACCGAGGAAATAACAGCGCACGTGCGCTACTTGCACAAAAAAATTATGCTATCATCTCTAATAACCGGCAATTATTTCGTGAGCCGCGGTGTCAGTCTTCTCAAGTTCTGTACAATATCGTATGAAACAAACTGACGCACGCGTGAAAGACATGTAATTACACGGCACAATTGTAAATTAATATGTACAGAAGAGTGAGGGAAAAAGCGCGACTTTTTTACGTACAAAAACCGGAGCGACGACATTCAATTTTATTTGACAACAGACGACGTACACAAGTTACAATTCGTCCATACATACATTTCTGCATCGGAGAGAGAATTTCACTTGTCCTTGAGCTAAGCGAGCTCTTCTTATATGAATGTGAAAACAAGTTTGTTCTCAAACAAATATTGCTCATTGAGAAAGAAATATTATTCGAAAGCGGTTCGAACTTGTAATCGATTCGATACCCGTCGCGCAGGATATTCTACTTTCTTTTTCAACCAAGTTCAAGGTCGTTTTTAAGGCAACTAAAAAAACCCTTAAAAAAACCTATTTAGCAGATTATTAAAAAATTAATGAGATTATTAGAGAATTAATGAGATTTAATACGTATGAAACAATAGATAATTTTGTTAACTTGACACACAATCGTTTTATTTTGCAACGTTAGTAAAAACACATGTTAAAATTCAAATTACAGTTTCTCGTTAACAATTCACAAAAGTGCATTGTCTCCAAATAGAATTTGTTACTTCTAAATACCAGTCTTCTAGATTCCTGAAAAATTTCTTTAAAATTCACGAAGCCCACAGGCTTTTCTTGTAAAATTTTGATTTTGTATGCCATTTTTCTTTCACCCACAATGTTTTTGACATTTCTCTTTCTACGCTATTGGTGGTACATTTTTATTATTATAGTTCCCAGGATAAAAAATCATTCTTTTCTCTTTTTGTAAGTTCTAAAAAATCAAGATACAAAAAAAAAAGATTCACCTTGACACGTAAATCAATCAATGCGGGTCTGCTTTAGATTCTTCTTCTATAGTCTTAGTACAGATGTGCATTTTTTGTTTTTTCAAAATACGACAAACGAAGTAAGGAAACACGAATATAAAAGATGTGGTTCCTCAGGGTTCCTCTTTTCATTCTGCACAGAGTCACGTATTTAGTTCAGTTTTCTTCAAATGTAAAAAAACCATTTTTTTTAATATAAACGAAACATTCCAACTACGTGAATAAAATCTTCTAATATTTACTATCTCTCTCTCTCTCTCTCTTTCTCTCTCATTCACCGCACAGTGAAGATTCTCAATTGATCTGATTGTTAACTTATTATGTTGATATTGCTACATACGACAATATTTAAACATTTTAAGAAGACTTTTGATACCTTATATGGTTTTCGTTTGTTTAGTGGAGGCTTTTCAATATCGAAACAAAATAACAATAATAAAAGAACTTACAAAACATTCTGTTATTATAGATGCTGCTCGCCATGTTTGGTACATTCTGATAGATCAAATTATTTTTACGAAAGTTATTTTGTGATAAAAGATTTTCTCCAGAGTCTTCATTTAATAAAATAAGAAAGTCAACGGAAGCGGTGCCAAATCAAAGATTTGTTTAAAAAAAATATTATTCTATATAATATATTTCTATATACACACATACACACACATATCTTGTTTCTTAATTATTTATTATAGATTTAATAATAATATATGTGATATAATGTATGTGATATATAAACTTTTTACAAATTTGTTATTTCTTTATTGGTTTTTTAAAATATTAGAACCTCTAGCTTTAATACAATTGGCACAAACACGAATAAATCACTACCATATCTAATAAAAACCCCTTATATACACTAGCTATAGAAGCAGTAATAGCGCGGTGTTTAGTGGTTTCTAAGATAAAATGGTATCTATATTATTTCCATTTTTTGTTGTTGCAATCTTGCTTCCCGGTAAAAAATTTTTCATATATACTTATACACAAATTAAAATAATTATATCTAATTATGCAAATTTATATGCCGAATATCTATACAATTTTATACACGGAGAATTTCTTTTTTTAAGAGAATGGCTTCAAAGATATTCCATATCAAATTACAAAATAACTTTATTATCATTAGATAATAAGTATTTAGTATCATGTTAGATACAAAAAAATTATATAAAACTATATTTTTACTATATTTTTAAAAACTTTTGCTATATAATCATATATACTTATACACAAATTAAACTTATTATATCTAATTATGCAAATTTATATATATATATACCGAATATGTCGATACAATTTTATACATGGAAAATTTTTTACCGGGTTGTAGATATAGAAATGATATCATACATATTTATGCATGTTTACTATACTGTCTTTATAACAAAAGAAGTTGTCAGGAATGGTCCTTACGATGGAAAGTAAAATACGGGACAAAATGGGATACCAGAGTAACATATTTTATTCCAAATTGTAGCCAAGGACAAGAATATGGATATTCCTAAAAAATATCTATCATCCTTTTCTTGGCAACAATTTGCAATAAAGTGTGTTACTTGCTCTGATATTCACTTTGTCTAGTATTTTACTCTTTACGGAATAAAAAAAACTAATAAACATCATATAATATGTGTTTATTCCGTTGTTACGGCGTACGAGCGCGCGAAAAAATCGCAGCCCGAGCATGTCATTTTGCACGTGGCTGCGCGCTCATTCGCGGATCTTTATTTATTAAAAACTCGTTAACTATTGCGAATCTCGCAAAATGGTAAAGGACTTTTCGACTCGGAATAACTTCTTCTATCTGTCTACAAGCGGTGACGCGGTCTTTATCAGATCTGTATATAATATATACGTATGTACCAGAGAGAAGACTGAGAGCGACCAGGGCCTATAAGAGTTTCTGCGATAACTTAACCGCCCCGCAAACCAGCGCGTGTCCACGGATGGTTCACATTAGAACTACGCAGCCATGTCCACGAGCGACTGTCGGTACGTGCGATATGTCCAAACGTGGACATTGTTCTATTCCGCGCTTTGTCTACAGCGTGCGATTCCATTCTGTGCAATGTGCACGAATTCAAGTGTCGAAAATCAATTACAAGTGCACAAATTATTACTGAAAAATACCAGTCAGGTTCACATCTTGATCTATTAAGTCAACATCCTTCCAAGTTTCTATGGAAGGTAAACAGCGTATGTTTTTTGTTATTTTATTTTTTAAATAAAAGAATATATATCTCGGAACATTACTTGCTGATATTATTAATACCTCGGCCGCATGACCTTGGCGGGGTCACTGACCTCGGCCGCGCGACTGCACCGGGGTCACTGACCTTGGTCATGTAACATCTTACTGTAATATGTATATAATATATATAATACAATATATAAAGTATAATATTATAAATATATAATAAATTATATGTATAATACACATATTATTTAATGTTATATATAATATAAATTACAGTCACGTTACTTTAGTCACGTGTTCTACTCTTTCCTGTCACGTGACTTTACTTTAGTCACGTTTTTAATTTTCTATACGACGAACTGTCAAAATCGCTTTCCTGTCATTATTTACTCTCTCGATCTTACCGATTCGATTCGACTCGACTCGACTCGATCAATCAACCAATTAATTGGCAACGCGGAAAGGAGGCATCAGTAGATGCGATACATTCGACTCGAAAACGCGCACTTTGCGGTCCAAATGGATTTTTTTATGAAAGATTGAATTGATATTAATAATATCAGCAAGTAATGTTCCGAGATATATATTCTTTTATTTAAAAAATAAAATAACCAAAAACGTACGCTGTCTTGCGTGAATATTACGATGTTTACCTTCCGTGGAAACTTGAAAGGATATTGACTTAATAGATAATATTGATTTAATAGATGTGAACCTAACTGGTATTTTTCAGTAATAATTGGTGCAATTGTAATTGAGTTTCGACACTTGAATTCGTGCACATTACACAGAATTGAACCGTACGCTGTGGACATAGCGCTCTTATGAGCTTGGCCGCTCTCAGTCTCTTCTCCCTGCATGTATACTCTTAGGGTCATTCTACAATGAGTTGAAAATGTCTCGTCGCCAGTTGCAACTACTAGGGAAAAAGTATTATTTTACGTGCTGCGGTTGCCAGTTGCTGTTGACAAAAGTTAAAAGTTGACCAATTCTCTTTTAGCAACCGCAACGACAAAGCGCAACCAGAAATAATACTTTTCTTTTCGTAATTGCTACCTTTTGCAACTGGCAACGGGATATTTTCAACTCATTAGAGAATGACCCTTAGTACACGTACGCGTCTTCTCACATTGCCCAATTTTTATATTTTCTAATAAGCTCTCGATAACTTTATCTAAAAGATAAAGTATATCTTTTTACCATTTTTTGTTGTAATCTTGCTTGTATATATATTACATAGATACAGATATGATATTATACGTACTTATGTATATTTACCATACTGTCTAATACCATTATGTTAGAACGCGTGTTTTATTTAATTTGATTATATACTGTATAATATGTACAGAAATTCGTATTTTTCAAGGACATATAATTCTTTGATCACAAGCTAAAACTTATAAACTGCAATTACTTTATGTAAACTGTTCTACTCTTCAAGGTAGATTAAACATTTAACAGTCTGCTTAACAGTTATTTAATATAACAAATGCAATTTTCACAGAAAGTGAAATTCCATCACGCACTGGTAATTGTTCGTGTGTAGTCTAGCAAAGAATGCAATATTATTCTGTTCGAGTAATACCCTAATTAGTTATTCATTTATTTATTTTAATTAGTTATTAATTTAATGCTTAAAGTTTTATACATAATTTTGCGGTTATTTGTACTCAAAGCGCGAGACCACTTATTCATATTCTTATCTTTTTTTATTTTTATTTTACATACATACTAATACACGTGTATATTCGAATATTATACTATAGTGAAATTGTATATATTTAGATACAAGTATACAACACATTGTTACATGTACGTACATGTATATACCCTATTACATAAAGAAATAATAAATAAGAATAAATAACAAACAACATGTACAAACGATTTGTTTTATTTATGAGATAAAAAAACATAATGTTTTTTCATCTCATTATATTTTATACGTATCACAAAATCCGTTATTTGTAATTGTGGAACATCTAATATTAATAACAAAAACTTTGAATGTTATTTGTGTAGAAATCGTGATAGATCGATCAACTGATCCGTAATAGCGTTAGGTAATCGCATAATAGTTTCTGGTCTCCTTTACAGTATTCTCATTATTTAATTTCTAATTGTGCGCGTCACAGGGAATTTCACTTGTCCAACCACGCAGACGACTCCCTTCATCCGATGTGAAAGCAAATTTATTATTGAACAATTAGTGTCCATTGAGAAGGAAATATTATTCGAAGGCAGTTCGTAATTGATTTGATATCCGCGATTCGTCGCGCACAAGATAATGTTTCTTTTTCAAACAAAATTCGAGATCATTTTTTCTGGCAAATCAATAAACTGTTAAACAAATTATTACAAGTATTAAGATTGACTAATTTGCACCTACGAAACAATATGCAATTTTGTTATTTTGTATTTTTAGTATCAGTTTTCTAATTTGGCGAACGAAAGAAAGAAAAGGAAAAATATATCCATTATCTTTTGTACGATTATATTTTGATTATATAAAGTATTGTGCTATATTGTAAGGATTATAAAACGTTAATTATTGTTCTTTGCTGAATAATATAACAATTCTGATTACACTAATCCTTCAGGCTTTACGCGCTATAACGTGGCTGTCCTCCTAATTTCGCATTAAAAGCCGCATACGTTTTTTTGCAATATGTCTTTTTGCAAATGTTTTTACATTTTTTACTTATATAAAATTGTTCGCATATATAAATTCGCATTTCACGGCAGAGCTGTTCGTACAGCGATATACAGGCTCTATATGGCTAGCGCAGTCGTAGCAAAACGGGTCAAGTCAATCTAACATATCACATACGCTTTTTATTATATAAATATGGTTCAGATATATGTATAATTTATAAGATACAATATTATCTATCTATAACGATTAAAATCTGTTTATTATTGCTACACTTTGAAATATATATACAAAAGTTTGACACACACAATAGTATTTGTACGTATATCCGTTATTGCGGTGCAATTGAAAAATACATAGCAATCGAAAACAAGATTATTTTCGTTCAAGATACAAATAAAAGACGCATAAATGCCTCAAATGAGTGTTCTTTCTTTTATATCTTGACATAAATAATATTCATTCATTATGTTTCAGAAAACGCTGTCATATAATTCACTTCTTTAAATTGAGATATCTGTTCTCATCGAAGCTGTCTTCAATTTCCTCGGCTATAACTATTTTCGATTTTGGTTTACGCTTTGCAAGTCTGATCTTCATTTCCTCTTCGGAAAGCTCCGCGATATTAAGCGGCAAAACAATTATCTTTCGCGGCTCGTGATACTCCATATCTATACTACTCCCATCTGGAAGAACGAGTATTGTAGGGTATGTTCGTTCATATACCGCTCTGTGCTTCTTCGTAATCGCGGCTGTCCAGCAATTGAGATTTCTTCGCAGGCCTGTCGCAGAGCTGCCAATTCGTGCAAGTGAAACGATCATTCTGAAATGTACGAAAATGTAAATAAATATAATTCTTTTAGATAAAAAAAAAAAGATTATTTCTTTTTACACAATTTTAAACAACAAAGTTCACAATAAAACCTGTACGTGTCGTAATAACATAAATAATAATAAAAAGAATCTTTTTACAGAAGAAACTAACTTAAGATATCACATTTGTTTACGACACGTAGGTTATGTTGTCTTGTTAAATTCGTAGTGGCAACCACTTTACGTAACACATTACTTGTTTGTCGCACAAACTTCTTATTTTGTTGAAAAATATCTTTTTATTTAAAAAAAAAAAAAAAAAAACACCAACGAGTTACGCAAATAGAAGATCAAAAGAAAATTTACTTGTCAAAGCGACCGACGAGACGAGCAGCTTGATGCAACGACTTGTAGCTCTCTGCAGCCGAGCGATCGAAGTGGTCACGTGGTTTTCCCGCTCGACGAATCGACGGCCGACCGCACTATCGATACAAAATTGCGATTATCGAAATGTGCGCTTCAAAAGTTTTTCAGAGAGTTCTGTGTGCGCGCCCGCTTGTTCGGTAGCGATCTCGGTGGGTGCGAAAATTAATACGCGTGCTTTTTTGCGTGCGATTTGATTCGCAATTGGTTGAAAAAGTTCAGTCTTGTACGTAATTGCGAAGAAAAGTGTCTTAATATCTCAAGCGATATTGTTTTCCGGACGTCGAGAGATGGACGGACGAGCACGTACGGTCCTTGGAGCCATCTTTGCGCCAAATCAAACGATTCGAACGACTCCGGTGAGTTGAAAACAAATGTTGATTCACTCTCTCGGGAGAGATTCCGGTTACTTTATCGTACTTGTGCAATTTTGTGTTGAGAAATATTATGTGCACAATGTGCGATCGGGCGTATCGCTCTCGACGAGGAAAAGAGGATGTTTCGCTTGCGACGTGGTACTGTTTTTTTGTTTTTTTTGTTTTTTTTTTTTAAGCGTTCTGACGAAAATGATATATCTATGTGTGCGAACGTATTTATGCGTTGCACGAGCACTTGGGTTCTTCCTTGCAATGACCGGGTAACTCGGTATATTCTGTACGATTCCTGCAAAGGGTAAAGGAATTTATGTCACACATTTTTCAGACACAAAAAGCGAGTTTGGCGCGATTTCGGAGAGATTCATCAATCTCTTTCCACACTTCGGGGGAGAGGGGGAAAGTGCATTGATTATCTCGCGAAAGATCGCCGTGTGAGAAAGTGCATTAAACTAAAAGTTAGTAGAGTTAGTTAGTTAAGTTGGGGCAAACTTGATTAACCCGGGAATGAAATATACGGGCGAGACTTTTCTGGGGAGAAATTTCTGGTGAGCTGGTTTAACTTTTTATTTTATCGTTTCACAGTTTTTTTTACAAAAATTGTTTCAATCTGTGTTTATTCGTCAAATATTACAACAAAAATAGGGTAAAAGACCTAATAATTACTGTCACCTTAAGCTATTTTATTAAAAATATTAAATAAATCCTAAAAAGTTCTGCATGAAAGAAAATCTAACATAGAATTTTAAGTGCACAATTAATATAACAAAAACTCCAGCACTCAACATTCTTGTCTCATTTCTTTCATTTTAGGGGGTGACAGTAATAGCTCTCGCATCGTTCTTTTTTAATTATTAAATTTATAAATAAAAATAGAGATTTTGAGAGGCGGTATTATTTTGTTTCTTACATTAGAGACATCGAATAATACCAGATAAGAAGAAAAACACATTTGTTTTTAATAAATAAATAGTAAAAACAATTCGCTAACGCCAGAGTTTATACATTCAGGTGACAATAATTGGGTCTTTTACCCTATATAACGCAGTGAATGTAGTCGCGTACATAATTGCGATAAAAAAAAAAAAATTATTTTTTCGATTTCGGAAATAGAGATTTTATATTTCTCTGTATAAATTTTCAAAAGAGTATGTGTAAAACGTTTATTGGGAAAGTCTATTCCCGGGTTAATACTGAAAATCACACGCATTCATTCAAGTGATACACGCCATAAAACATCACATTTTTTTTTTTTTTTCTATCCTACTGTGGTCCCAAGGAATCTGAACAAATAGTTGCTCCAGTTTCTTAAAGTACCCTTAAAGATATCCCCTAAAATCTCGCCAAATCTTTCACTGCCATGCAATTTACAAAAATCTTCAATTGCATACGATAACAAATGTCCCGTGAACGTGTGAAAGTTGCATGCTTCATGATCAAATAGTGATACTTATCCTACGTGAACGTAAAAACGTGTTTACAATATAGTTTTTCAATATACATAAATACTGTTTCATTATTTTGCATATTTCGAAAACAATCTACAAATATTGTTATCGAAACAATATGTATTCATGAGTTTACTAATAGTTTCCTATGTTAAAAACAATTTTCTATCTTTCGCATTCTCTTTCTCTATTTTATTTTTACACATTCAATACTGCCGTTTACCGATTAAACTGCATTATATTTATTTTGCGCATGATAACAACATCAATACTTTCGAAAAACATCTCTAGTTGCGTCTATTTTCCGTATCACATTGCAATTCTTTATATAAAAAACTACACATCCTAATATTATGTATAATACACTTCATACAGTAAAAAAACACTTCTGTTTCACATCTTTTTCATCTTTTTGTATATATTATAAATAATTAGAAATAAGATGAAATAAGATGAATTATCCTCTGGTTCTTATTAAAATAATAATGGAATAGAGTGAGGCCAAAAGAACCGATTGCAAGATGTTGTGCCAAATTAATAATATAAAATAATATAAAATTAATAATATATTCCATTAATATATTATAAATATTGAACTCACAATAATGGAATGTCTTCAAAATAAATATTACTATTAAAAAAAAATAGAGATTTATACAAAAAAACGTGCCTATTGCGGATAATCACACACATGCATGTACTTATCGCACGCATACACACATTGTGTGTGTGTGTGTGTGTGTGTGTGTGTGTATAATATCTTATATGTCCTACATATCTGGCACAATGACAGATTTGTGTATAAAATATTCATGAAAATGTATGGAAAAAATATAAAACTACACGTATAAAAAATATTGAATTATAAAAAAACGTAAAAAATTCAACGATGAAAAATTCTATTTTTGCCGCAAAGTTAGTTGTTACGTTCTGCCCTTCAGGTCAATCATCTTCTCATCGCTATATCTGTAAAATCAAAATTTTTGTCCCATCTCTCACTTACAATCTCTTATTACACAAATGAAACGGAAATATATATGTATATACACGTACTCAGAAAATATAATCAAAACACACCTTAACATACACGTGTATATATTCTATTCTCGTGTATATCGTGTACGACGCTATACAATATTATCAATATACTGACGTAATTAATAATAAATTAACATAGCAAACTATATAAAAACAATATAAAAACAACCGTTAACTTAAATTAATAATTAATAAAATTACGCAAAGAGGGGTTTAGCAACATTTGATACAACACACAGTCAACAACACAATATTGAAAAAGGGGTTAATGTATATATCTACACGCGTGCAATATATTAGTATTTATTAAATTCTACATTAGTTTTTCCTAAAACGTTCCCCACACATGACAAGTTACATACAACGCGTTAGCTCAGGATATTATATCGTGCTGATATAATATAAGATCAGATTTTCTAAAAAAAAATTGTTCGATAAAAATGGCACGAAACAAAAAAGCCAAAAAACATGCAAAGCGTAGATTAATGCCAAAAGCACGCAGAGATATACATACCTGTACAGAACGTAATGCTGTATTATGAAAAATATGTCAAACGCCACGGAAAAGAATCCAAGACCGAATTTAGTCGGATCTCCGAAAATACTTTCCCAATCGTCTAAGGTAAAAAAAAAACAGTATGACGTAAACAAACGTAACGCGGAAATTAATATTGTTGAATGCTAAATATATATACGTAGAGAACAGCAATTTAAATTCACACATATCTAATTTATCTTTACCGTAGTTGTAAGCGTTGAGTATCATCTGTAGCATTGACAAAATACCACCGGTAAAATCCAGAAATATATTTCCTATACTCCAACCGACAGTGGATTTTCTTCTATAATTGTAATACGCTTGGGGTATACATTTGATAAGCGTTATGCTGAGCTTTACGTAGCTACAGTAGTAAAGAAAATCCAACCAGTGAATTGTCCTCACGAAAGATAATATCAACGATATTAATATAAAGACTGAAAATATCCCGTGTATGATACGTGCGGTCGTTGACACTCTTTGAGTACCGATCTAAATTAAAATTACACAATTAGATCTCAATTGTTGTGCATGTTATCTCGAAAACATTGAAAAAATAAAAATAAAATAAAAGAGAAATAAATTTACCTCATAAATAAAACACTGTCCGATAGTTATCGCAGTAGCGAATACCGCATGAATAGCAAAAAATATATCGTTAATTTGTACAGGATTCAAACCTTTCGGATAACGTCTAAAATACTCGTTCTGAAAATATTTGATTGAATTAACGAATTAAGTATTAAATACGAATATAGAAAAAATATAAAAACTATATTACTTATATTGTTACTCGATTAAAGCGTGTATGTAAAAAAAAAAATACGGCAAATATGACGATATTTTACCTCAATCTCGGGTATCCAGTAGAGACCACAATTGAACAATGCGTACATTAGAAAACCGACGAGATTTAACGACAGATAATCGAAATTAAGTCCCACAACACTTTTGCGTTTATAATTTATGTAAATTTGTGGATAAAAACTCACGCTCCATGCTAAGAAATATACCCAACCTACCACCGCGCTAATGTGATAAAGCGATTCGGATTTTTCTATCGTTACTCTGACAAATGCTTCAGAAAAACTAAAACAACAAAGTAGAGAAAATTATTTCCACGCACATAAAATGCATAAAGTTATTAGAACATCAGTCTTCGAATATCGCTCGAATATAATATTGGTAGAAACAAATCTTTTTGTTTGTTTTGTGCTCACTTTAAATTAATATTATGTACTTCGTCTTGTGGTATAATGATGATTTTATACATCGACATCTTCTAGAAGTTACAGGTGTATTAAGGTCACAAAAAATTCTTTCTTTATACGGAATACGCGTTTTGAAGGCCGAGTGTAGAAACCACTAGAGACGGTAGGATCGTTACCGACACGTTTGTTTCGTAAACGTCATCTTTTTTTAATAGCGACACTACCGAAACTTTCGGATTACACGCATTGTGAGAACAAGAGGTTTAAACGGGAGGTCACAAATGAACTAGGAAGTATTCCGTTTCGAATCTGAATACAGACTGACTGAAAGTTAAAGTTTCTGTTCACTTGTCAAGTATTGGGTCAAGAGGGTATCTGTCGCGCAATGTCTTAGCTAACACAGAATGCAGTGAAATGTGAGTGTAATAACTGATCGGAATCTTCCCAGAATTAGTCATGACGATAAAACAAGACCTCGCGATGCCACGAGTCTCTCTGGCTGCCAATTTGCTTGTTGTCGTGAAAGTGATTATACCGATTGTTGCGCAAAACCTGTTTACAAGTGCTTACACCACTCGGATGAGTGTGCGTGCGTGCACATACTTGTAATCATTATTGCACGTAAAAACATGTTTTTTTTTTTTTTGTAGCAATTGATTAGATTTCATAAGTCACCAGGTCTTAAGAGAAGAGTCGTTGCATCACACATACTTACTCTGTCACATTTTTAGGCGTTACGTTAGCGCTGACAATTGAATGGCCTGCGCTAAGACCTTTTACATCAATAATCCATTCTCTCTCATCTTGGGATACAGTAAAGTTATTTGGATTTGCGGATAGCAAGTCGACATGCTGTATGTCCAATGTAACTCTTACAACTTTGTCCTGTGGTAAAGAATCCCTACAAAAAATATCAAACACATGTGAGACAAACTGATGGAACAAAAAATACTTTCTCTCTCAAAACAAGTTCTCTCTCTAAATCACTTTTTAACATAATACACAAGATTTCGCAATTCTGAAGGACGTTCGAGATGAATCAGTTTATAGTCTGTTAGATCATCTAACGGGATGATGAAGTGCGAAGTCCACAGTGATAATGTATTACATTTTAATTTGTTATCATTCATCGACTCTCTGTTATCAGTACTCGTAGACCATACAATAAAGCTCCGTTCTGTCATGATTACAGCACGCTCTTATAAAGTGATATGATACAAAGTGAAATATGGGTGAAGATAATATAAAACTAGACGCGTAATGACTGTAGAAATATTTTTGTGACACTTTGTGCGCAGACATAAATTTCTATCACACGACCCATTTTGCAGTTGTGAAAACTAATATATATCGTGAGCACGCATATACTCTTAAAATTACATGATACAGCAAATGCTTAACAGCCAATAAAATTCCATAAGTGCTTGATAATATCCATAAACTTTGTTGTGACGGCTCGAGTTAGCTGTACATGACAGATATGTGCTACTCACGTAAGAGATAAGTTAAATGATTTCTGTTGATTGACCAATACTTTCAAGTCCTGCGTTGATACTTTAAATGTCCCTTCGATGCGTGTTAAAGCTGCAAATATAAAACAGCGTGTAAATGAACAATTAAGAGATCTCAGTATCTGATTCTTGGTTTTTTTGTCTCACCTGAAAGCATCAAGATCCATGTGTAACACAACAAATCCATGTTGTCTGTAGACTGAAACAAAACCACAAGCTAAATGCTCAGACAGCCGTTTGTAATGGGCAGGTATCTTATGTTAACAGTCTTCGATTTAGCCATTCTCGTAATCTCTTTGTACGGCACGTACGATGAGGCAGTGAGCGAGTCGCGAAATCAACGAAAATTTACATTAGTGACACGTAGCGTAACGTGGCGCGCGCGAAAGAGAGCGGCGTGTTTAACCTCAAAACGCGTGGAACATCTCATTACATTTGATCACAGCTGATCGTTGAGTAAACAATGTGACACTTTGAACGTTAAGTACGTTCATTAGTAGAATTAGTCAAGGCTTGATGAATGACGATCTCGATGATAAACAGACGCAGCGTGCATTGTTTTGTTTTTGGTTTGCTACATAGCCGCGTTATCCATGATGCAATTCCCGCGGACTGTAAATGTCAATATTGATAACGTTGACAACGATGTCACGACGACGACGATGCCGGCATCGGATTTTTTTTTATCGGCAAAAAATCTTTCAGGTGACTTTGATACAAGACAATCCGCACAATGTCACTATCACCC